TTCTATAATAAGAATTTTTTTTTCAAATATCTTAAAAATTAAAATCGATTATATATAGGAAAAAGTTATTCAAAATCTTATTTTCTATAAAATCCAATATTAAATATCCAAAAATCATTAGAATCAATGATGATACTTTTCTAAATAATCAAAAAGAATAAAAGAAAGATAATATAAAATTGATTTGATAATATAAAAATCATATTCATTTTTTCTAATTTTTATAAAATTAATGCATTAAATAATTTAAATTTGAATTTAATTTAATTTAATTTTATTTAATTGAATTTTCATACATATTTTTCATTTTTATATTTAAAAATTTAAAATAGAAATAAAAACAAAAACATTTAATTAGAATTTATTTATTTCTTTATTAAAAGAATATTTTCATACTCAACAATTATTGTACGATTAATATGAAATTCTGATTTTTGTGAACCCAATTTTCTCTCAATTTTTCTTTGCATTATATATAGATGAATAATTTTTAATAAATTTATTATATTAAAAATTAATTATATTATTATTTTTATTATTATCAATATATATTTTTATTTATATTATTATATAAATTATTTCCAAAAATTATAAATATAATAATCATTTATGCATACTAATAATAATAATAATAAAAAAATAATAATATTTTTTAAAATATATCTAAATATATATATATATATATTTATATCTAAGAAATGATAAAATACATTTATTTAAATAATATGAATTAATAAATTATTCTCATATAGAGAATTGCATATTAGTTCTAAATTTTTTCATATTTATAATCAATTAAAAAATTTTATAAAATTTCTTATAATAATAACTAATTTAATAATAAATATATTATCAAATGAAAAATATCACAATAATATATAATATATATAATTGAAAAAATAAAAAAAATTAATATTAAAAAAGAATTAAAAAAAAAAATCTTTTAATTTTATAAAACATCCAAACTATAATAAAAGATTAAAAACTTTGAAATTTATTCTCTTATTATATATTTATATTGATTATTTATATTTTTAGTCTCATAACATTTTTTTTTCTTTTTCTTACAAATATATTCTTGTGTAAAATTACAAATATCAATTCCATATTAATTTTATTGGAAGATTCCAATTTATCATTATCATCTTTTCTTCTAAAATATATTTTATAAATAAAAAAAATTTTAGAATTTTCTATTAATTTAATTTTGTCTTAAATTAATAGTCAACATAAGTAAATATTTCAATATATAAAATAATAAAAGTATATTTTTGTGTATAATGACATTATATTAAATAAAAAAAATGTATAATATAATATATTGTATATATATTGTATTGCATTTCTATAATATCTATATTTATATAAAAAAAAAAAGGATTAAATTATTGTATCAACAAAACAAAACAAATTTAACTAACAAAATTAAATCTTGATGTAAATTTTTTAAAATATTTTTTTGCTATTTTTTCTTAGTTACGATATCAAAATAAATATCTTATTTTAATTATTTTTTTTTTCTCAAATAAATAAAATCTTTTTAATATAAATATTATTAATATATATATAATTATAATATTAAAAATTTTATTACTATAAATAAAGCACAGTTATCATATATTTTGTTATCATAACAATGCAAAATAATATTGCATTAATTGATATATTGCAATAATAATGGAATATAATAAAATTAATATTGCAATAATATTGAGATTAAATTAGAATAAATATATTGAATTAACATACAAATAAGTATTTATGTTTCCAATTTTAAATAACGTTATATGAAATATATATGAAATAACATGCTATATAATACATTTACTAATTTTAAATTTAATATTTATATAAACTGATAAAAACTTCCATTATTTAAACATATCATAATAAAATATAAAATAAGTTAAATTATAAAAATTAATAATATAAGAGCAATCTTTAATATAAAATGTATATGTATATACAATTACCTCATTTCTTGTAGAAGACATGATGTTCACTGTTATGTATTTATATACCAATCATTATTGATAGAAAATATAAATTTCTTCATAAGTATATTGCACCAATGCCATATAGAAAATTTATCTTCACAAAATCAAATACATTAATGTATTATTAATATTATTTTTATAAGTATTAAAAAATTATACTAAAAACTCATTAATTTGAATCAGTTAAATATTCAAGATAATATAACCTCAAATATTAAATAAATCAAAATAACCTAAACAAAATATAATATAAACTCATTATATTATCATTATATTCATTATTATTAATTTAATATTAATATAACTATCATTCACTTTATAATTACAATCTAAATAATTATTTCAATAGAAGATAACATTATACAAATCAAGAAATATATATGTATAATGTATTTTTAAAAATATACACCATATTGGCATGTTAACAAAATCATAATCAATTTGTGCATAAATCTTGATAAGAAATAATTTTTAAAAATTAGAAATAACTTTTTAAAAATTAAATAATATAATAAACACAATTATTTTAAATTTCTTTATAAAAAAATATATACACAATAAATATTATGATATTATAAGTTATATTAAAAAGTTATATAAAAATATTTAGTTTTATTACGATTTCAAGTATAAATTCAAATTTATTGTTTAAATTTGTAAAATTAAAAAATAAAATAATATTTAATGATAATTAAAACTAAGAATAAAAACATTATATTTAAATAAAAAAAATTGCAAATAAAAATATAAATAAATATTTGAAATGTTTCTTAAATGAAATATATATTTTATAATGTTTACAAATTTATTTTATAATATATACAAATATATATAAAACATAATATAGTAAATTATAATCTCCTTTGTTAATATTAAATAATATTTAAAAAAATATAAAAAAAATGTAATACTTTAGATATAATAATATAATTTTTAGGTTAGAAAATCTAATTTTAA